GATGCCAGGCTCTTCTCTCTCCACAGTCACAATGCCAGGCTTTTCTCTCTCCACAGTCACAATGCCAGGCTCTCCCCCCCTTCACAGTCACAATGCCAGGCTCTCCCCTCCACAGTCACGATGCCAGGCTTCCCCCTCCACAGTCACAATGCCAGGCTCCCTCCCCTCTCCACAGTCACAATGCCAGGCTCTCCCCCCTCCACAGTCACAATGCCAGGCTCTCCCCTCCACAGTCACAATGCCAGGCTCTCCCCCCTTCACAGTCACGATGCCAGGCTCTCCCCCCTTCACAGTCACGATGCCAGGCTCTTCTCTCTCCACAGTCACAATGCCAGGCTCCCTCCCCTCTCCACAGTCACGATGCCAGGCTCTCCCCCTCCACAGTCACGATGCCAGGCTCTCTCCCAATAGCCGCACGTGTGTCTCCCACAGGACAGGTGCTGGCACTAAAGCGACACTGCCCATCTTGGAGACAGGCGGCGTGGCTCCCCAGCTGAGACGCAGGAAGCCCCGGGCCGTGGGGACAGCTCAGGCTCAGGACTCGGAGCAGTGGGCCAGCCTGGACCTCTCTAGGCCGCACCGTGCCGTGTGTTTCTGTGGCCGTGGCGGGGCTGGGGAGGAGCCGGGCACTGGAGCCGCTCTGCGGAGGCTCCAGCATATTTCTGTTTACTCTGTGGCTCTGGCCCGATCTGCACCTTCCTCCTGGAGGTTTTACTTACAAGCTAAGGACAGTGAGTCGGATGTGAACCTGCTTTCCAAAAGCACACACAGGGGGACAGGAATGAAAGTGCCTCCATTTTACAAACGGTCCCAAACTAGGGGCTGCCTTTAGGCGTCTGCGTCCACTTAACCTGAGGAGTGGCTGTGAGCACAGGAGAGAGGGAGAAGCTCACACAAAGTGCTGACTTTTAAATTCTAACTTTTGAGTGGAATGCTTATCATCAGTGTGGAAAAGTGTGCGTTTTGCCGCCTCTACCTTGTATGCAGAACCCCAAGTGATGCCATATGAAAAAGTCACTTGCGTAAGTTTGACTTTTGAACTTAGAGAAGCAGAGAGCAGAACAGGGGCCTCCGGGGCAGGGAGAGAGGCTGGTCACAGGCACGAGGTCTCATCAGGAGGAGGACGCCTCAGACCTACTGCGCGGTGTGGGGCACATGCCTCATCATCGGTGCGTGATTCAAAACTGCTGAAACCATAGGGGAGCAGTGGCACAATCACAGCTCGCTGAAGCCTCGAACCCCTGCTCCAGAAATCCTCCTGCCTCAGCCTCCCAAGTGGCTGGGCTACAAGCACTCACCACCATGCCTGGCTAATTTGTGAACTTTTTGCAAAGGTGGGATCTCACTGTACTGGGCAGGCTGGTGCTGAGCCCTCAGGCCCAAGAGATCCAAGAGTCTGAAATTCCCAAAGTGCTGGGACCATGCCCAGACCCTAAAATAATAGGTTTTAAACGTTCTCAGTGCCAAAAAAATATTCAAGGTGATGTTAATTAACTTGATGTAATCTCTCCATAGGGTGAACATATGAAAACCATGTTTAAAATGTAAATAGAGGCAGTTATTATTTGTCAACTAAAAACACAAATTTTAATTTAAACAAAGTCACTTGCCTACATTAGGGGGCAGCCAACATGATCAGACTCCCTTACAAAATCCAGTGTGAAAGAAGACCCCGTCCTCGGGACAAGCAGAGCCAGGGTCGTTCTGCTGAGAGCAAGTTCATCTTTGCACCTGGCTCCCACGCAGGGAACCAAAAATACCTGCCCTGGGAGGGACGCTCTTTGTGAATTTAATGCACCCAGGATGCCTATTACAGCCACAGCAGGGGCAGTGCTTCCCCAGGACCCCTAGTTAGCCTGAGTGACGCCAGCGGCAAGGGCGGGCATCTGTGCGTCCGTCTGTGGTCGAGGGGATCTGTGTGCTCAGCACGGTGTCTTCCTGAAGGATCCCAGATCCCGCTCTGTGGTCAGGAGCCTTTGCCACGTGGATCCTCTGTGGCCTCCTGCAAACAAATGTTCATCCTGGAGCCAGGAACTTCCCTGCCGGCGTGACAAGGAAGAAGGATGGCCCATCTCACCGGCGGACCTTTGTGGAAACAGCTCCCGTCCAGGCCCTTCTGTCCCGTATAAAGTGTGTGCTGTTCCTGGGGCAGTCAAAATTCAGACGTTATTAATGTTTGATCTGCGTTTTTGCAGGACGGTGCCAGGAAGGAAGGCTGGGACACCCACAGGCTGCCGAGAGCCCTCTGAGGGCAAACTGGCACCGACACTGAATCCCGGAGAACAGCTTCGTGTACCCAAAGTAACCGGTATGACTGTTTCCCAAACACAGGCAAATTAGCGTCATGTTGTACTTACTCTCAGCACAGACGAATAAATACTGTCACTGCATTTGTCCAGCCTTTTCTTGTAAACATTGCCTGATCTGTTCCTTCCGGAGCCTTGCCATTACAGTGTACTGATAGGTGACACGTCTTTACTTATGAACCCTGGAAACGTCACTCTTGCCGTCATCCTGTCTCCACCTTCTGGCATCTCCCATGCTGTGTTCCCCTTCACGCTTCCACACCCCCATGCCCGTCCCCAGGTGCCCACATCGGGCTTCCCTCTTCTCCTGGAAAGAGCACTCCTGGCTCCTGCAGGGCCACCGGGAGGAGGAAAGGGATTCTGTGGGAGAGGCTGGAGCCTTAAGGACCGATGAGGCAAAGTGACTTGTCTCATGGTCCAGAGATTCACCAACACGTGAGCCTCAGACCCGAGGCTTCTTGTTTCCAGCCCTGTGGCATGCTCTTCTCACTCCCTCCTTGTCCCCTCACTCACGGGGAATGCAGCTGTGATCCCGGAGGGAACCCCTCGCTGACTCAGCGTCCTCATTTCACACGTGAAGCAGCTGAATTCCAGAGAGCTGGCTCCCAACCCGGGCACCCCTCAGCCACACCCAAGGAAACAGGCAGGCTTCCTTCTGCACTGAAAGCAAAGGCAGACACATCTGTTGGAGTTCTACCTGCCCTGAGAGAAAAGGGTGTTACTAACTCATGGATAGAAACAGACCCTCTAGGCAACGCTGAAGGACCCTGCAGCGATGGGGACAGCCGCACAGGAGGGCTGAGTGCTCTGCCTCAGGGTGTTTTATGCAGCTGTACTGTTGTGTAAACCACGGTGGCCCCAGAATACCAGATGGTGGCTTTCCCTAGGCGCTAGGCCATCCTGTCTGTGTTCCCAAACTCTTCATTTGTTCATGTAAAACTCATTAACGATTTCATAATTAAAACAATATTAAAAATATCCTGGCAAACTTCACGATTGCCCTTATTGCACCTGCAAGCAGTCCATCCTCACACTGCCGTGAAGAACCACCCGAGACAGGGTAATTTATAAAGAAAAGAGGCTCCACGGGCTCCGGGTTGCGCAGGCTGTGCAGGAGGATGGTGCTGGCCCCTGTCAGCTTCGCGGGAGGCCTCTGGAAACAATCATGATGGAAGGGGAAGGAGAAAGGGGGGGGGTGCCCACAGAAACCAGCAGATCGCGGGAGACTCACTCAACTGCCCGGGATCCAGAGGGACGGTGCTGGACCCTCCTGAGAAGCCCACACCGTAATCCCACCGCCCCCCACCAGGTGCCTCCTCCAACCCTGGGAATGGCAGTTCCACGTGAGGCTGGGCGGGACACAGCTGGGCCATATCCACTGCCAGGGAAGGGACAGGGCCCAGTGTCTGCAGAGGAGTTGCCTAGAGTCCCCATCCACGGGCGGGGAGAGACGGAAATCGCAGGAACACACAGCCCATCAGCACCCGTGCCGGGCAGAGAAGGGAGGTGGCCGCCGGCCTGCGGATCATTTCCACGAAGGGAGTACAGGCCTCCTGCCACTTCCAGCAGCTGCTCTGCCGCGCACCAGGCCACGCGGACGGGGAGCGGTCTTCCTTCCACCTCTGAGCTTCCTGCTGACGCCGAAACCGGGAACCCTTGCTTGATGCGGTGCCTGCGTACCTCTGCCCTCTAGGATAGACGGAGGAGCAGTGCAGTATAGTGATGGTTATCGTCAGGCCTCTACCTGGCCAGCTGCAGGGAAGTCAGCTGGCTGATGAGGCCTGGCCTCGCCTCTGTGAGCTGTCTTGGAGGACACTGGGGTGTGAGTCAGCAGACTGAAGGGAAAGACGAGCCTGAACGTAGGGTGGGCACCATCGCATCCCGGGTAGAACTAGAAGGCAGCTCTGTCTCTCTCTCAGCCAGGACAGCCTCCTCCCTCCTGTGGACATCAGCACTCAGCTCTCAGCCTTTAGACTTTGGGCTTGCAGCAGTGCTCTCTGCCTGGGCTCTCAGACCTTCAGCCTTGGGCTGAGTCAGGCCATCCTCTTCCCTGGCTCTGAGCCACAGGACCAGCATCCCAGAGTCTCTGGCTCAGAGGCAGCCTGTCATGGGACTTCTCAACGTCCATCATCACGTGAGGCAGTTCTCCCACTAAGTACCCTCTTATCCATCCATCCATCTAGCTTTCTGTCTGTCTGTCTATACATCTACATACCTATCTAGCCTGCTGGTTCTGTCTCACTGGAGAACCTGGACTATGATGATACACATATCTTAAGCGTCCCGGCATAATCACGCATCGATGGCTCCCGACCTTGACCATCCCGGATGACGGGGTCAGCCTCAGTTCAACTGCACCGTCTTCACAGCACTGCCATCCTGACACTCCCTGGGGTCACAGAGTTTTAGGGTATTAGTTACTTTATGGGATAATGATCCTGGTTGATCTGCCGCCAGGATTTGGAATGATTTTGCCAACTCTTGATGTATTTAAAGATCTCACTTAGAAGCCCGCGCCTGGCTGAGCACACGGGGAGTCGGCCGGCTTCCATCCCAGGCCCCTCTGTGTGTGTCACGGCCGCTCACTGGCATCATGTCTGTTGGGCCATTCACAGGAGAATTCCAGGCAACCCGGCAGCAGCCTTGGCCTCTTCCTGGGATAACTGACTCCGTGATGCGAGCCCTGTCGCCCACCCCAAGGTCACTCGGTACAGCCCCTTGATTCTGGAGAGAAGGAAGCTTAGCTGCAGGCACTGGAGGTGAACTGCTCAGGGTCATGTAACAAACTGAAGTTCAGGGTGAAATGAACACAGTTCACGTCAGCACTCGGTAGGACCCCTCACCCTGCCACGGCACACGGCTCCGTCATCTCCACCCGGCCAGGATGGCCCAAAACTGTGTTTCTATTTGAGTGGCTGTTTCTTCCTTATTAAACGTTCTGCTATTCGTAAATGACTCTGGCCAAATTAATCGGAGCCACATGGCCTGCTGGCCTTGGAATAGCCCTTCCTTGTGAAGGTTGCACACATTGGGATACATTGGGACACGTTGATCCAGCAGTCACTCAGGAGCCGGGGTTCTGAGTGCAGGGGGTCCGACGAGTCATGAGTATCTCACCGAGGGTGTGATTTCTGAGTGAATTGGCCTTTCCTTCTTGAAAAAGAAAAAGGGGAATTTTATCCCAGCAAATGCAGGTTTCCATGGGTGGACCCTGCCACCTGCTGGGCGACGTGGGAATCGGCAGAAGCACCACTGTCCCTGACCGGCATCTCCGTTCAGCTCAAGGAGCACACGTGTCTGTTCGATGCCAGTGCCGGAAACATTTTATTATTTCACTTTTTGAGTTTTTCATGCTTATAGTGAAACATCACCACTTTCTCACTCAGCTGTGAATGTGAGGAGCCTTGCGCCCCGTGGGCTTACTGAGCTCTGGAATAAGGGAGAGGCTCTCACGACATCCATGTCAGCAACAGCTTCACAGATGCCTTCTCAAAAGCCCAGCCCGGGACACGTGCACTGCTCATTGCGTACGAACTCACCCACTTACCCGAGCGCCCACATAGGGCCGACGGTCGATAGGTGTGACAGGAAAGGCCGGGGAAGGAGAAAGGCTGGAAGACGCTGCCTCCACACCTGCAGGCAGCCACAAGGTTCAGTGAAGGGTGTCCGGCCAGACAGAGCCTCCGTGATCCGCAGCTTTCCCGACAAAGTATGCTCCCTGGGAAGAGGGTTTCTGTAGGACGCGAGGTGTGGCCTGGGACTCAGGGGTGTGCGTCCTCCCTGTGAACAGACAGATGAAGCAGAAACTCCAGACAGAGGAAAGCATGGCCTATGAGGAAAGCCTTCTGGGGACGAGGCACACGTGGAGATGCCAGCACATGAGAGGGTTTGGGAGAGGGTCCTGGTCTCTTTGCTCATGACTGCCTGCAGCCAAGAATGCAATCTGCAGTTAGGGCCTAGAACTGGGGGGCAGGAGGAGCACTACACCTGGAGTTAGGGGAAGCATGATCCCTGGGAGCAGGGGGAGCACTATTCCTGGGGGGCAGGGAGGAGCACTATTCCTGGGGTTAAGGGGAGCACGATCCCTGGGGGCCAAGTGAGGAGCAGGATCCCTGGGGTTAGGGAGAACATGATCCCTGGGGGCTGGGGAAGCACTGTTCTCATGGTTGGGGCAGTACTAGGCCCCAATCCTAACTCTGCATTTTAAATAATCAATATTTATTGCCAAGAAGAGAGACAGCTCTCAATAACTGTGATATCCTGTGATCAGTGAAATAAGTGTGTCATGTGAGTGTATCAATAAGCATTACACACACAGAAAGACACTCAAAAGTACTTACACTGCCCACTACACACACACACACACACACACACACACAGCCAAAAATCACTCACACCACTTACCCCCCCACACACACCACATTACACACAGCCCCCCACCAAAAATTACCCTACCCACCA